ATCTTGGTTGCTAAGTATGATCTATAGGTGCCTTTGTCCTCTTCCATGTTTGCCTTAGGTTCTCTTACAGACAAACCCAACTGTTAAACTGCCAGATAAAGCAAGCTGTTGCTTTACTCTTGGAGCTTCTCTTGCAATAAATCTCACATAAAACCCTGGAGCTTCCAAACCTTGACCAGTGTGGCAGCAGCCATCATCCAGTGCTCCTGCACCATGGGACATATGGTCTGCCTGTCCTCAAAACAAATCTTAGGTGAGACTAGAACAAGAACAATTTGCCCCTTTTGTATATGCACCAAAAAGAAGCTGATTTGAGGGAGACTGTCAACTGGGAAAAAAGCAACAAGTCATCAGCATCTGACATCTCACCTGTACACAGGTGCTGTGCAACCACTCAGGTAACACAGAGAGGGATCATTATTATGAGGTTGTATCTGGGGAGTATGATGCCTGTTTGGGTGTAAGGTCCTGCTAAAGGCCATATACCATGCTCCCACACACCAGGCACATATGCTCAACCAAAACCAGCTCAAGCTGCCTAGCTGTACCTCACGTGAAGGGCTGTACCATCAAGAGTGCCCTGAGCCACTCTGCAGATACATAAGGTATGACCACGCTGCAGGCTAGGGAAAGCAGAGGCCCAGGCAGGTAAATCCCACACTCAAGCTGTAGATATTGCCTTATCTGCACTAAGTAAGATAAAATGTGGGTAGCTTTTATTACTCAGTCACCAGGCTGGCTTCTCCACACCAACACCACCTTCCCGTTGCCCACACTGCAGGATGCTGGTACAGCTCCACAGAGATGCCAGCAGCAATGTAGTCAGGCTTTCACAGACACATCACACTGACTTGGATACATGGCTCGTTTTTCCTCCTGCCTACTGGCACTGCTGGATAACATCCTAGGTGCAAATATTAGTGGGATACTTGAAGAAAAAGAGTCTCGTGTGTATAGAATCATTGAATGGTTTGGGTTGGAAGGGACCTTAAAGCTCCTCCAGCTCCAACCCCTGCCACGGGCTGGGACACCTTCCACTGGAGCAGCTTGCTCCAAGCCCCTGTGTCCAACCTGGCCTTGAACACTGCCAGGGATGGGGCAGCCACAGCTTCTCTGGGCACCCTGTGCCAGCGCCTCAGCACCCTCACAGGGAAGAGCTTCTGCCTTAGATCTAACCTGAACTTCCTCTGCTTAAGTTTAAACCCATCACCCTTTGTCCTATCACTATAGTTTGCCCTAACTCAGAACACACACCTCTCCCTGTGAATCCAGCTACAATAAAGACTTGCAGCCTTGAATGAAAAGTGAGAGGTTCCATTTCTGACAGTGTTACTGGGCAGGCTGTGAGGACCCTTGATGCTTCCTGAGTTTTCCACACATGCTTTTCAAGTCACAGCCCTACCTCTGCTCCTCCTCAAGGATCTGGCATAAACTTACAAAGAAGAAAAAGTAGGAAAAGTCCCGGTTTTCCCTACGAGAAAACCATGCAGTCTAAAATCTCATATTCCTCCTACCTCACTGTTCCTTGACCCCTAGCACTCAGTTCAACTGGAAATTTTATTCGCTGTGGTTGCATATCCACATGGGTGCTTGCTCCATGTGCTGTTGCAGTTATGTTCTACACCACCCCCAGTGACCGAGCAGAGCCCTGGCAGGACAGTGAGTATAGCCCATGTTAGTCTCAACCTGGGATATCTGAGAGTAGCAAGATGGTTGCAGAGAGAATAGGTTGAGGAAGCTGCTTTGTAAATCAGGTTAGTGCAGAGACGGATGTGGTAACTCCTGTCTTTAGTGCTCCTACTTGATTCACTGCAGCACTGCCCTCTCATAGCAACTACTACAGCAATTGGAGCAATAGTAGCTACTCCTGCATCAATAAGTGTAGGAAGGATTCCTCTGCCTTCCTCTACTGGCTCAATGACCTAACCCTCCCATAACTCCCCTCTTGCTAGAGGGGGTGAAGAGGTGTCTAGTGCCCATCCAGTGAACACCCATTTAGAGGTGTTGATGTCTCCCAAGAGTCTTTATATGGAACAGAAGGCTACTACCTCCAAATAAAATGTTAAACTTCCAGCTATCCACCATTAGATGAGATTAGCCCTGCCTCCTGTCTCACCATGGAGACTTTCTATCGCCTAAAGACTCTGGATTCATTCCTAGATCATCATGACAGACTGACAGTGAAATCTTTTACCATGGTTTGAAGAACACACTATGCAGTGATTTTATAGACTTAAATGCCAGGCAGTGATGCATTGCCCAATGGAGTGCCATGTAAGAATCATAAATCACAATCTTGCCGGAGCTTGTGGATGTCAGACATGTGAATATGCTGATTTGGTATCCATGGTAGTTTGGCATGTCTCACATCTTTGTCTTCTGCCCAAAATAGATTAGCTCTTAAATATTACTCAGCACTTGGAGTTCTGCCACAGCGCAGAAGACAGTTGAGAAAACACCAAAAATGTGTCTCCCAGTGCAAAGAAATATTGAGATAAACTTCATTGGGTTTGTGCAGTCTAAAAGCAGAACCCTCCTCCACGGTGGTGTAACAACAAGGCAAGGAAGGTTATTTGGCTAATGACAGTTGAGGTGGAGATTTTAACACATGCGCTAGAGCTGAAATAGGACAAAATCTGAGTATGAAGCTGCTGAGCTTCATGATAGTCCTGAGCATGAGGCTCAGGACTACAAGCCTTGCTGGAGCACTCATCTCTCCTGTCTACACGTACAACTGGGTTCCCAGTGAAAAATGAACACAGGAAATCTATTTAGAGAAGTAATCCAATGATATAGAGCACAATCCCAATGATAGAGCCCCTAAGTAATTTGTTACACCCGAAGTCCCTGCTTTCACAGCACAAATCATAGCACAAAGACAAACCTCTGCATTTGCACAAGCAAACAAGGCTGTTTGCATGCAGAACATGTGGGGACGTTAATCACCAAGTTGTCATAGTTGGATATGTGAATTTACTATGAAGAAGTTAGAAGTTAACATTATGGTACTGTTCAAATAGAATGTGAATTAACAGGTAGCTGAAATGTAAATTCAAAGGCCAATTCATTCTTTTATGTCCATAAACAGCCAAGATATAGTTTAATTTCTTCAGTTAATAAAAGCCTTTTATTCCCTTTGAAAAGCACCACCCTATCTAACAGCTTTTGGTATAGGAACAGTCTGGACTCCCACTGCCCATTCTCCCAAACTTCCCAGGGATAGGAAATGTGCTCTGTGAGGCTTCAAGCAAAACTTCCAGTGGGAAAATGTGTGGAAACCACTGGCCCATCTACAGAAGAACAGAGCCCCTGAGGTTTTTCAGTTCTAGAAGGAAAGCAAGTTTTATTCTTAGCTGGGAAGGAACTGGGAAAAGTATATTGTACAGAAAACTGCTGGAGGGTAATTCAAATTGAGACAAAGAGGCAGGTTTTATGGGCCTGCCCGGAGTTATCCATGTGCTTGATGATGGCTATCAGGACACACCACTCTGTAGACCACACCTCTACTGGGGTACACTTGCTATCTCACCCTAAATACACTGTCAGGCCTGATGTGATAGGATGTGACTGTAAAATCCCTTTTGGATGGGGAGGAGGAAGGGAGAGACCTCGTGTGAAACGCCATCCATGAGTCCTTCCTTGAACCATCTCGGTTCCCAGCCCACCTGAAGGTTCATGGTGGTTTTCTCTGCTTTCCTTCCACCGGTGCAGTGCCAGGCTGGAATTGCAGGGTATTGCATTACAAGTCCCACGGGTGCTGCCTCAGCCTCAGTAAACTTTATTTAAGCACACACAGACATACACAGACAATATACATAGATTTGTTTCTTCTCTGACAGTTCTACAGGACCGACACTGCTTTGGATGACACTTTGGAGACTTGGAAAAAGTGCAGGAAATGTAGGGAAAAAAAGAAAGGTCTTTTAATAATTTGTGAGTGATGGTCATCCACAGGAACAACACAGGTGCATTCAACCAGGCGAGCACATGGACACATCTCCACATACAGTACATCGTGTCTATATAGGTATCTCCACATACATTGCGTCTATATAAATGTACAACAGTCTCAGAAGTCAGCAGGACACAGAACCAGACGAGGACTGGCATGGCACATGCTTTGCACTCCCCGTGTCACAAACCCACTGCCAGAGCACCAGTGTGACTCGGTCAGGGTGTGAACAGAAAGACGCTCCAAACACAGTCTCACTGTACACTATAAAAAACTCACCAAATAGGCAACAACATCAGGAAAACGAACATTGAGCTGGGGTTCTGGTGACCAGCTACTTTTGAGTCAGATCTCACAGCTTTTGTGTCACCACAACTCCTGGGTTATACGGTTACTTGTCTAATAGAGCTACAACTGTCTCTCAACATAGATTTTATATACAGTACATATACACAGAACATACACAGAGCAGCATACGTATATTTTCGTGGTTTCATGTTTGTACATTATATCACAGATTATATGAACACACAAAATATATGTTTTAGGACCTAAAAAGAAATAATTTTATAAAATATTCATCATAACCCCGCCACCCCAACCCCAACCCAAAAAAAAAAAAGCCCAGAAGTCAAACAAAAGAAATCCAGAAATGCACTCTTCAAGTGCTGCCTGCCTGCCCTTGGACAGCACGAGATCCTTCCCTCTCCTTTGAGAAGTACAGCAGCACAATGGTGGTTTGCAACCATGCACTCAGGAAAACACAGAGCAGTCTAAATTGTTGAACTGCAAAGTCAGAGTGGAGTCTGGAGCCTGGCTGCCTGACTCAACACTCTCCCACCATCTCCCTTGCTAGGATTTAAAAGGTTCTGCTAGGGGCACAGTATTTTACCTGCATCGATATTTGCTAAGCTAAATCTACTGACTGCAGTCCAATACTGTTACCTCCCAGCGCTCAGAACCCAGCTTCTGAGTTATAGCTTTTTTCTTTTTTTATTATTTCTTTAAAACAATCTTTTTATTTAGCAAAAAATTGTTTCCACTGTACCCTTCGTGTGTCCTCTTCCTAATGTGACAAACCCGGAGGAGATGAAATTATGGAGATCTGGCCCTCCACTTCGATAAATATCCTTTCCATAGGGACCTGCCAAGGAAAAGAAAACGAAGAAACCATTATTGAGTGTGTGTGTATATATATCTATATGTACATATATGCTATACAGCCCTGATGTTACCCTCAGGTACAAGTATCAAGGCCCCACCACAGGGCTCCATTGCTAATGGCAAGCAGAGGGTATAACAGAACATAACACCTATAACAGCATCAAAGTCTTACACCTTTCTTGGCAAAGATTTATTGAGAAGAACAATTGCATATTTTGATAACTGCCAAGGAGTGAACCAATACTGAGAGGAGAACCGCTAATGTGCCAAACCAAACATCCCCATCACTGGGAATTCTGATCATCACTGGCTCGGATGCAGGTTTCCCAGGAGCAGCACTCCCAAGAACTGCTCTCAAACCTTCAAGACTTAAGGAGCTAAAGGAAATCAGAAGCGATTTGGCTTTGATCATTCCTGATTCCAGCCATACCCCTAGCAGCAGCCATGTGCCATTGGCAGAGAGCTGGTCTCAGCACAAAAGCAAAGGTGCAAATATCATGTGTCCAGGCTGGACCCAATTCCTCATTAACAGCATGATACCAAACTTTGCCTTCCAGCTTTCATTTGCTCTGGCCCTTCATAGCATCCCTGGATAGTTTCTCAATAGCCTTCCGCAGAACACTTCCTAGGAGCTTTCTCAGTCCATGACAAAAGCGTAGGTTCAGGAGGCACCCAGCTTTTTAATATTTTAATTTATTAATGAAGCCAAGTCTGTTTGCCTCCCTTTTACCATGCAAAGCTCTGAAATGAGGACACAGTTAATTTTTCAGATACTCTTTATCATCTCCTCCCTTTTTCATGTTGTTCATTTTTCTATTCCTTTTATTTTAGAAAGAGGCAGAGATAAGATAGGTGCTGGGAGAGGGAAGTAAGGCAGCCTAAGGGGCCAGGAATGCAGCTCCCTCTCCATCCCCTCCGTGCCTTTCTGCACAAGCTCGTGATGCACCACTGCTCTTCAGCACGGTGGCTGGGAGTCCATCACAGCAGATGGTCCAGTGCACACTTGAGCAGGGGAGATGAGTTGGGAAGCTTTGGGGAGGGCCAAAGGGGCATCAGGGATCCAGGTGGAAATGCAGCCTGGGGCCATGCTCTGCCTGGCTCACATTGCCTCTGACAGATGCTCCAGCCCTGCACCAGTTTTCCAACACTGAGACAAAATCCTGTTTGTTCTCACAAGCTTGTAGTCTGTCTGGCCACACTGTGACAACCAACAGGAGCAGAGACTTTAAATCTCACCAGGCTGCCAAGTTTTCCTCTGTCTCTTTTAGCCACTCATTCCCAGCTGTGTACCCCAGCAGCTACCACTGATTTTACAGGCCATTACTCCTGTCATGAGAGCCCACCCTGCATACAAGTGGGCTGAAGGTAAGCATGCCCCCAAGTCTAGACTGTCCCAGAATGATAGAATCCCAGCCTGATTTGGGTTGCAGCGACCTTAAAGTTCACCAAGCTCCAACCCCTGCCACGGGCAGGGACACCTTCCACTAGAGCAGCTTGCTCCAAGCCCCTGTGTCCAACCTGCCCTTCAACACTGCCAGGGATGGGGCAGCCACAGCTTCTCTGGGCACCCTGTGCCAGCGCCTCAGCACCCTCACAGGGAAGAGCTTCTGCCCAAGAGCTCATCTCAGTCTCCCCTCTGGCAGGTTAAAGCCATTCCCCTTGGCCTGTCCCTACAGGCCCTTGTCCCAAGCCCCTCTCCAGCTTTCCTGCTGCCCCTTCAGGCACTGGAGCTGCTCTCAGGTCTCCCCTTCAGGAGCCTTCTCTTCTCCAGGCTGCCCCAGCCCAGCTCTCTCAGCCTGTCAATATTCCACTCTTCTGCCGTGCAAAGGATCTGAGCAGGCTCCAAACCCCACTCCTCATTCAGGAAGAGCACCAGCAACTGCCTGGCCCCAAGAGTCTAGCACAGAAGTCACCATCACATGAACACGGTGAAGATCCTTGGAGGAGGCTCACATATGGCAGGCAGAAGATGCTGAGACTTCTGACAAATGTTTATTCTTATCTAATAGGGAAAGCATCCCACTCCCTTCCCTCACAGATCTGTTTTGTGGTCAGGGTCAGTCAAGTGCTCCCTGTCAACTTCTCAAAACACATATGAAGTGTTTCTGCAGGCTTGGGAGTGTTAGCAGCAAGACAGTTTTCTTCCTACAGTTATAGTAATGGAAGGTGGTAGCAAAAACCTTCAAATGTGGAGGCACCCACCCATAAACTGGCTGAGAAGAGAGTTTCCAGAAATAAGGAAGAAGGATTTTCTGCTTCCACAGGGAACATTATGGGCTCTTTCTCTCTTCTTCCCACCCCGCTCTTGTGAGCTCTGGCTGCTCTGTTCCTGGACAAAGGCGGCAGGACTTTGCCTTCGAGTCCCTGGAAGTTATTTGTGCTTCCTGAGGTGTTTGTTCTTATCCTGAGAAGCACACAGAGGGTTTGCGGCTGCAATGCCCCATTTGCTTTCTAAAATGTGCTGCAGTTTTTCTCTCCAGAAAGCCAATTTTTGCTTATATACCATCAATTTTCTATGCTTTCAGGGCCAGCTGCTCTGGTGACTGACACTCTGTCAGTGTCATGAATTTACTGGTTTAAACAAGGCTAAAAGAAACACACAAATATGCGCTATTCCCTCTAGCTGAGATCAGCTCTTTTTATATGTCCCTTTGGAGTCTCTGTTTAAGACAGAGATCAAGAAGGGGAAGTATATAAAAGAAGCAAATATTTACTGGCAGATTGAAGATTGTTCATCAGCCATTTGTTCTCTGAACCTTGCTCTGCCCCTTCTTATAGTCCATAGTAGTTAAATTAAACCATTCTTGTGATGAAAACCCATTAGCATTTGAACAGAAGTTATGTTTTCCCACAAGAAACTTGCATTTGTAGACTTCAAGTAGCGAGTTTTCCCTTTTTATGGGTACATTATAGGACGCTACAGTTGTTTTATATGTTTTTTTTTTTCATTCCTGCTCACTTGTGATCATTTCTCTTGGCTCCACAGTGTAAAAATGCTGGTAACATGGCTTTTACTTCTAGAAGCACCTTGGGGGCTGCAGGTGCGCCAAGCTCAGCTGCTGCTATTCAAAGACTTCATCACCACTTCTTGATGGATATGTTTCACACTGGCATGGTACCTTACCAAAGTGCATGTGCCTAGAAGCATCAGCAGAGAAGGCTGTAAAGCACTGGAAATGCCGTTCAAGGCTATGCCAGACCAGAAGCCATCCCTGTCTCATTCTCTATTGAGGCTGTTTTCCTCCTTTCTGCCTTTAGCTGTGTGCTCTCACTGGTCTGCTGCTGGGAGTCCTTCCATAGATTGTGCAGCTGTGGGGTAGAGGCATGGAGATGCTGCAGAAGCACCCAGTCAAATGGAGATCTCTGAGCTAAGTCTGCTGTGGTGGGGACAGTTTAATGGCTTTCTTCTTCCTGCTGCCTACAGGCATTATTCACACTGCTCTCCCTCCTCCCTCACGTGAGACCACATCAGAGCAAAGCTGCCCTTTGCTGGTGTATTTCCCTGGGAGCACACACAAATTCCATGGGTTGCTTTGAGGCCCCTTCCAACCCAAACCAGTCTGGGGTTCTGTGGTTCTATACTCATGCTCTCAGGCTCCCAGCACACACTTTCCCTCTTTTACAGCTCCTATTTTGGGTGGGATTAGTTGCTGTCTGCCAGTTTTCCACATCCATACTAGCACACATTACCTGACCTCATGGCATGGAACATGCTACCTACCAATACAGTATTTCTCTAGGAATTTTATATCTCCAAGGTCTATTTCTCACAATCAAACCTAAAATGCTGCTTCAGAACCCTGTGTCTGAGTCCCTGGAAGATGTTTTTCCTCCCTCTCACTCCCTGTCCTTGCTTACACTCCTATCCATGTGCTCTATTGCATATAAACCCTCAGATGCACACAAGCTCCCAGGCTTTTGCATTAGAAGAAATGAAGAGGGCTCCAGCAAGGCTGTGTGTTACTAAAACAAATGAAAACTAACACTTACACAACTTAAAATCTCCAGAAGAAATTGAAACAAGGTGAAACACGACTTTTTCTCTCTTCTCCTTTGGTTATAAAGCACAGCAAAGGCAGAGAGCAGAGGAGTGTTTTGCCTGCCACACAATAAAGGCATATTCTTTAGGGCATACAGCCCAAAGAGGGAACATTTCATTACAATGGCATCCTGCATAACACACATATGGAACAAACTCAGTCACAAACAGCAATTACATCCCCAGCTCTGATTTAACAGAATTATTAGAGCTGAACTAAAATGCTGTTATCCACCTCTCGGAAATGTTATTACTGAGCACAGATTACATCACCCTGAGAAGGGCAGACAGGGACTGTTGTGGGCAGCCTTTTGCATGGTTTACTCTGGGATTCTGACCTTATCCTTGTCACAGTTTTCACCCAGAAAAAAACTCATCCCCAGAGAAGCCTCCCCACATCCAAACTGCTCAGCACCAATGTTATTCTCAGACAGATCTCTGTGGAAAAAGAGATAAAACCTTTATTTTGGACACACACACACAAATATGACCCACAGCCTACCTGCCTCTGATGCTGCTCACTTCTGCTGGAGTGAGTCTTTTGGAGCTATTTTATACATATCAACAGACTGACACAAAGGGCACGAGCTGCCAAAATGACCGTGAGGTGTTTGCCGAGCACGTGGCACACTGCTCTGCACTGCTCTGGATGTCCTGTCAGCCAAACGCAATCATCCTTGAATGCGAGGGGAGGCACAGCTCCAGACCCAAACCATGGAATTCTTGGAGCCAGCAAGCACGCAGACCAGCTCAATCCAAGCAAAGTCTCATTGCAGCAGTTGGTGGGTGTCAGCCATGGCGTGAGTTACGTCACGGAAGGAAGTGTTCAGCCTGGAGAAGGGAAGGCTCCTGAAGGGGAGACCTTAGAGCAGCTCCAGTGCCTAAAGGGGTTGCAGGAAACCTGGAGAGGGGCTTGGGACAAGGGATGTAGGGACAGGCCA